ACTCATCCATGTTGGCATATATGGTTGGATTTGGATTTTCGTGTTCCTAGATTTTTGAATGAATTGAGACTCAATAAATCCATATGCTTTAGATTTTTCTTACTCCATGATCAATTTGTCAATGTACATAACAATGAATTACAAGTTAAATATCATATATATTGTAATGTTACACACAAATGAAACTATGACTTACATGGTCCATAGTTATACTATAGAAATGTTCAGCATGTAGTTTTCCCCAATAATCTCCAATGCATCAGGAAAGGAAACATACAGTGGAATAAGAGAATTATTAATTCCTCAACCATGGTAATATGGTCAGAAGCATAGATATTGGATAATCCTCAACTTCTTCCACATCCTCATTAATAACAGGTACTCTCATAACCTGCTTACCACGATGGATAAAATCTTAAACAACATAAGACAAATAGTTAAACATTTAAAGATTTATAAATAATTATACGAATACTAAAGAAGGAGAAGGAACACTACATATATTACCTTTGCTCGTGCTAAGAGTGGCATCACCAAACATCTTGGCCAAGCAGAAAATGTGTCATTTGCCCTACTAGCTGAACCTTTGTATTCAACAAAGGCAATGGATCAACAACTTCAACAATCACTACTCACGTTCAGTCTGGTTGTATTAGGATACCATGGATGGTTGAGCCACCCTCAAAAACTTGATCAAGTGCCACTAGACGTGGGGGGTCGTCTTTAACATATAACTCACATTAGTTTGGTGCATTAGTGTTAGTATATTCCCTAGAGGGATCTGTAGTAGCAACAATGCAACTTCCTTTAATGTTGACTCGAACAACATCATTTTTAATTATATAAGGTGTTCCTTGAGTCTGTTGTTGGAAAAGAGCAAGAGATTTAAGCTTCTCATCAAACTCTTACTGTAAAGATTGACGTATTTGATTCAGTTTTTGTTAAAATTGCATCTCCATTTTTTGTAAGATCTCTTGACTATAAGAGTCGACAGTGGGCCTCCATAATGGTGGACCAAAGTAATTACGAAGGCCTCAAGATCCACCAGCATCGTGCATATGTCTTGGGTGCTCTGGTTTTCCTAAAGTCTTCAAAAATATGTCTTCTCGACCATGGGGAACTAATGAATCTTGACTGGCTTGCTCAACAAAATCATCCTACAACAAATCAACAATAGGTTAGTCACACACTAAATTATGTAGGAAGCAAGTGTAATTAACATGTTATGTATATTTTGACTTACAATTTTCTCAGCAATGACTCGTGCAAACTCAAAACTCAATTGTCCGTCAGGTCTGATGCGAGTTGCCTTCTACATCTCATAGTGGGAGTGGAGATGCAAGGTCAGCAGAATTAAGTCTTGCTAACTTTTCCTTGGCCTCCATGAGTCGTTGCTCCAACAATGCATACCTACCCCACGACAATAGAAGGGGTGTATCATTCAGCTTTTGATGGGGGCAGCTAGTCTTTTATCCTACAATGCAAAAAAAAAAATTGAATAATACGTTAAGTACAATTAATGTAAGAATAACTAACAACTAACCTGCCAAGAGGCGCCCAACCAATTGGCACAAAACTACAACCAATCCTTCTCACTAATATGATACTTTATACATGGAGATTCATCTTGATACTTTCCAAATACATACTCCTGTATCAATAAAGTCTTGAAGTCCCTCCATCTAGTGACACTGAATGATAAAATCTTCTTCCTCAACACCATAGTATTAGGAATGTCAAAATTTTGCTATCAAATTACAAACAAATGTTAAATTCAATTATTAATATATGGAGTATTCAATAAAAGAGGAAATACCATAATATCCTGTCACATGAGGTTCTTCTCGATCTCCTCAATATCATTCAAAGATGGAAGAATAATAGAAACATGGTGTCGAGCTAGGAGTCCCAAATAGCTCATAAACTTTGCAACATTTGGGTCTGACGCCTTACCAAAACGTGAATCAGCGTCAACTTGTGTCCTCTCCCTAACAGCATGGCTCACTGTCAACCCCTTCAATCAGGTAACAGATATACCTCCACTCCTACCACTAGCATACGTCAAATCTGACATAATCTTGGAAAAAAAATTAATGATTAATGTCGCCGCCGTCAAAACGAGGCGGTCGGAGCGACGCGATGGTTTCGACTTTCCATTTTTCGCGTTTTTATTGGTGTGGTTACAACGCCTTTAGGTTGTTCGATAACCGGGCTGAACCTAGAGGCGAGGTTTTCGAAAAGGCGCTCTTGGATTGTCCGATAACCGGGCTAACCCAAGAACTAACTTTTGAAGGGTTCTTTTGGAGTCGCCACCGACGTTTTTACCGAAAACATCGGAAAAGGAATGAAAAAGGCGTTGGTTTTCAAAAAACCAACTTTGGTCATTAGAACCAGAGTTGGGTAAGGGAGTTAGTTACGTGTAAGGGAAGTATTAGTTCCCTTACGACGCCCCTTTCGGGTTCCCTATGATAGGCCAGCTATATTAAATAATTAAACCGGTGAAAAATACGCTTTTACCCTTTTATTTGCGGAATTTAAAGATTATGACTACATGGCCCTATATCTATTGCATAATTGAAATAAAGCGGTAAAAGAGAGAGAGAGAGAGAGAGAGAGAGAGAGAGAGAGAGTGTGTAGAAACCTCCGAGGCACGCTTTCTATTAATTCTTTAAAATTTTGGGTGCTTTTGGCAGCCCTTCGCTCTTTACAACGCTGGAATCTCTCAAAAATGCTATAAAAAAGCTCTAGAAAACACTCAGAAACTTCGGAAATGCTTCGGAGGGGTTCTAGAGAGAGAATTTGAAGAGATTTCTAGAGAGAGAGTGGAAGAACTGTGTGAAATAAGGGGAATGACGCTCCTATTTATAGGGATTCGCACCTGTCAGGTCGAGACAGGCCGTCTGGTCTGACAAGGTCGAGACGGCCGTCTCACCAAACGAGACGGCGGTCTTGCCACCTTCGCAAGGCGAGACGGCGGTCTCGACCCTAAAAGGCGAAAACCCTTATTTTCATGCCGAAAATCCCTTCTATCCTAGTATGGGGCCTAATAGTCTCTCCTAGTGGCTTCTTAGGCTTCATCCATCTTCGAAAAGGAGGTCTTCTGGTCTTTATTATGAGGTCGGGCAAGATTTGGAGTCTACAATTAATAAATTTCAACAAAATGAATACTATTCATATTTAATATATATATATATATATATATATATATATAAACAATAAAAATGTGGGACTCAAACAAATAAACTGTAGAAATATAACAATGCGAGTGTATAAACCATAGGTGCACTCAAACAAATAAACGGACAACAACAAACAATAAAGTTCAATCCTAATAACAATACAGTAGAGATATTCATCTAATATCATGATTGAGATTCCTAAAAATAATTACGGATTCCATTTAAACATAAAACTAGAGACATAGATTACTAACCTCAAAGATACTCAAAACATTCTAAAACTTGAATCCAATCAAAGAGAAATGTCAACCACCACAAATGGAACACAATGCAAGTGTTGTCGCCACTCACCATAGTCGAAAAATACTCTTAGAGGTGTAGCAATAATCTCTATTGTCGTCGACTCAAAAACCCTGCACGCACGAGGAAGAAGAAATCTGGGATGAAATAAAAGGCAAAATTTATGTCAGTCCCTTTGAGGTTCGACGTAAATTTCCCCTATTATTTTCAAAAATACCACCATGTTTTTTAAAGTCGGTTATTTTATAATTCGATGGAATAAATACCACCATATTTTTTAAAATAAATAAGAAAATTGTTCTTTTAATATAAATATATTAGATAAAAATATTAAAAGAAATATAAATCTATTTAATTTATTATAATAATCATTTATTTCAAGAAAAAAAACACAAATTACAAAATTTTGAATATGAAACATTTTAATTATATAATTTTATATTTCCTTGTACTTTTAAAATTTTATTTTTAATGTTATTTTTTTTAAATATCTCTCTTACCTCAACTCTTATACTAAATTAATATTCTATCAATTGGAAAGATAAAATAAAATAAAAGTTATAAAATAGTATGTCAAAATTAAAATTATATGTAAGAAATTATTTAAATGATAATGAGAAATACATAACTAATTACTAAAAAAATCTAAAATTTATTATTTCTAATTTTTAAAGTTAAGAGGAGGATACACTTTTTTTTAACATGGTTTATTGTTTTTCAAAGACAACACCTAAAAAGTGTGGCTTTAAACATTTATGATCCATAGTTTATGGTGGTTTATAAGTTATACATAAAATTATTGTCTTTTCATTTTTTTAATTTGATAAGTTTAGAAGTGACCACATTTTTATTATTTTATCTAGGAGGTCAAAGTTAGACAACCCGGCTCACACGGGTTGACTCAAGACGAGTTGAGCTGAAAATAGGTGAGCTCAACCCGGCTCACTTTTTAGCGAGCCAGAAATTTTACAACCCGGCTCAACTCACTACGGGTTGGTGGGTTGGCTCACTAACCCATATTTTTTTAATTTTTTAAATGATATAAATATATATATATATATATATATATATATATAATATTGCATTGTAAGATATTAACACAATGCTACAATTTTCAAATAAAGATTCATCAATCAAATCGTTTATGTTATGGTACAAATTCTTACATTTGAAAGCGATACAGTGGACACAGTGGTGTAGTGGTGCGGTGGACAGATGGTAAGACAAGTGATCCAAGTGCAAGGACAAACGTAATGGTGTGGCAAACAACTGATAACAAGCTTGAGTGAGGGTTTGGCTTGTAGCGACAGCGACAATGTAGGGTAGAGGTGAGGCAAGATAACATCAAGAATCCCGATATTTTGACAACCCATTTTAAACATCCGTTCGACAACCGAATAAAAAAATATTAAATGCATAGTATTACTGAATAAAAAAATATTAAATGTACAGTGTTTTTATTATTAAATAATTTATTCCCTTGGCCCATCTCTCCTCCTTCTCCGATTCTCATTTTCCTAGCACAGAACTTTCTTATTCCTTCCTCGACCTCGACCTCGACCTTCCTCACGCGGTTGTGAACTTGCCCAACTTGTCAGTCGAACTCACTCACCACCGCATTGTACAATTTTTTCGGCAACATCGTCAACGTGGTTCTGTTGTCAACAACCACGTCGTCATCCCCTCTGCGGTTCACCCTCGGCAGCATATTCGGCGCGAGGATAGTCCTCTCCCCTACGGATATCCCGGCGAGTCCAATGCAGTAGAAATAAGGATGCTTCGGGTTCCAAAGCATGGATTCCTGTGGAGGTATAATTTCTTGTTTCTTAGGGTTGGATCCATAAATAAATTTAAATAATTACTTTATTCCTAAGTTGACGCTGCTATATCTTTTTCCTTTGCTACTCTTTCACAGTTCAATCATCTTGAATGTTATATTGCAATGGAAAAGCTAAAGCAAGAAACACTTTCAGGTGCATTCTGGTACTCATATTTGTGTGTGAAGTAGATTAAACTGTTAATTTGGCGTGAATATGTTTGAATTGGTGTGTTTGGATGTAGCAGAGAGTCATGTAATATTTTTTTGCACAAAAACCTGATAAGGTGTACTTTCTGATGTCGCCAAGAACCCAACTTTGGAAGATGTTGACAATGTAATCAGCTTTCAATTGGGTAGTGCCATGGACATTTCTATATTGAAATTGACAATGTTCATTATGAATTAGTAAATTTTTGTATTGGATATTGGGGTTGATATATGGCTTTTTCTTACTGCATGTTATTGACCCTTAGTAATGAAAATGAGTATATGCTTTGACATAACTTTTATGATATTCATTGTTAGATGATACTCAGATTGTTGTCATGAAATACTTGTATGAATGTGCTTGACCTGTAGTAAACGTCATGACAGTAAATAAATTTTATACTATGAACTCAAATTAAATAGGGTTACATGTATTTGCAGTTTGAAATGGAAAGCATAGACGATGGATCTTCAAATGTTAAGAAGGTGAATGTTGTATCTATTTATATAATATAGGATATTGTTGATGATAATTATAATTATTTAATGTGATTTTCAGGTATATTTGCGACATGTTTGCAGGACTAATTATTTGGGTGAAGTGAATAACATTCTAACTAAAGAGCAAAGAAGTCGTCTTGAGGCAACACCATTTAAATGGTTGATGTCATTGGGTAGAAAGGTCAAAATTAGTAGAACATTGCTTCGTGAATTAATAAGTAGATGGGTTGAAAAGAGAGGAGGATTTAATATAAGGTCTGAGATAGTATGCTTTACACTGTTAGATGTGTGTTTAGGTTTAAGGCTTCGTGTAGTAGGCGAAAATGTCAACATTGTAGAAGGAAACATTGATTGTCATACTAGTAGACAATAGAATTGAGCAGCTACAAAAGGAATGGTGTGCATATTTCTATCATATATTTTTGAAGGACAAAATTTGTACCATAGACTCTTAGCGATTTTTTTAATCATTTCAATTATTTGATGTACATATATACCAATTTTGTTTCATGCAAATTTTAGTTTTAATTTGTCAAATTTTGAATTGTTTTCTATAATTATGTGAATATATATTGTATGATGGCTTGATTTTGTTAGATTAATTTGAAATATACCCTGAAATTGTGGTGTATCAGGTACAAATTATGAGAAAAAAAATTGGAATTTCAAAATTTAAATAATTTTTTTTTTTAAATTGGGACTTTAGATAGCGGTTCCCAGAACCGCTATCTAAACATACTAAAGAGAGCGGTTCTAGAACTAACCGCTATTAAAAGTATATTTTAGATAGCAGTTAACTTGGAACTGCTATTATATGTTCACTTTTAAGAGCGGTCAAAATATTAACCGCTCTTAAAAGTGACACATATATGATAGCGGTTCCACTTTAACCACTCTTAAAAGTGACAAATATATCTTAAAATTGACACATGTTTGAATCAGATATCGCTCAAGCGAGACTAGTGTCACTCAAGTGAAATACAACCCGAGAATCCCAATTTTTTTCAGGTGGTGTCGCTCGAGCGATGTGAATTTCGCTTGAGCGATTGTTGACCTGGGGCTAAACGTTGATCAGAGTTAGCCGCATAATATAACATGGGTGACCACATGTTTAAATCGGATATCGCTCGAGCGAGAATAGGGTCGCTCAAGCGAAACACAACCCGAGAATCCCCAACCTTAGCTGGTGGCTTCGCTCGAGCGATGTGAATTTCGCTTGAGCGATATTAGAAAAATCAGATAAAATGATTGATTATTTTAGGTTATATTCGATTATACGTTATGATGATCGATTATAAGTGGTATATGATTGGTTATATTTTGCTAATAGATTATAATTTTAATTTATCTGTCATAATTAAATGTAAGCGACAATAAAGTCGCTCAAGTGGACCTTACGTGTAACCTAAAGGCAAAATCAGTGAGCGACGCCGACAGTCACCTGTTTCATACAAGTAATGATACTTACTTATATGTTTACGTTTACCAGCCATGGTTTATGTTTACGATTATTGAGATAGTCAACAGTGAACGAAAACAGAGAACAGAGAATTTGTGAGTAATTAGAAAGCAAAGAATACATTAACCTCGATGGTTGTTGTATGATTCTTCTTTACAATGCAAACGAAATCAAACAAGATGAACCATCAAATTAAAATTCAAAACCGAAATCAACAACCATATTAAACCCTAAACCAAATGAATAGAACCCAATATTAGACATAGACGAACCAGAGCCGGGAGAGAACGAACGTTTCTTTTGCGTGCGCCGGCGAGAGAGATGCAGAGCGAAATTATGTAAAACTATAATCGCTTAGCACAAACTATGATCAATGTTCTCCAACTATAATCGATCATTCTCAATTATAATCGGTTATCAAAAATTATGATCGATTATTATCCAATTATAGTCGATCACTTTGACATATATAACTTTAGATAGTGGTTATTTGGTCAACCGCTATCTAAACTACATTTATTATAGCATTCCACGGGTCAACCGCTCTTTAAAAGTGTGATATAAGGGAGCGGTTATAAAAAAACCGCTACTATAAACATACATTAGATAGCGGTTTACGGCTAACCGCTATCTAATATACATTTTTAAAAGCGGTTCTTATTAACCGCTATCTAAGGTTGCTCAAGCGAAAAACACATCGCTTGAGCGAAGACACCTGGAAAAAATTGGGGATTCCTGGGTTCTGTCTCGCTCAAGCGACGTTATGATCGCTTGAGCGACAAGTGATTCTTATATGCGGTAAACCGAGTTATATGGCTAACTGCGTTGGCCATTTCGATGTGGGTTCAGTCTCGCTCAAGTGACTACGTAATCGCTTGAGCGACAATTGAATCTTATATGTGGTGAACCAAGTTATATTAGATGGCTAACTGCGTAGGACGTTTCGTCTATGGTTCAATAGTCGCTCAAGCGAGGATGACATCGCTTGAGCGATGGAACCTTAACCAATGGGGACCCTCAGGTTCTGTCTCGCTCAAGCGACGTTATGAATGCTTGAGCGACAAGTGATTCTAATATGTGGTGAACCAAGTTATATTATTAGGCTAACTGCGTTTGACGTTTCAACATTGGGTCAACACTCGCTCAAGCGATAAAGTCATCGCTTGAGCGACGAAGCCTTCAAACAAGGGGACTCTCGGGTTCTGTCTCGCTCAAGCGACAATGTACTCGCTTGAGCGACAAGTGATTCATATATGTGTTTGTAGACCCCTAATTTTGCCCGGTTTCTCAAATAAAGACAAAAAGATCACCCATAACAAGATAAAGCTCGCCCAACATTTTAATGAAGGCCAAGAAGACTCCCTATATGAAGATAAAGCTTCAACGGACACACATCGGCATCAAACGACGTCCGAAAAAGGAAAGGAAAGCTTCCCGGGGGTCCCAAAAACGCGAAGGCAGGCCAAAACAGGTTGGGACAGCTGTCCCAAACTGGGACAGCCATCCCAAACACAACAGGCCGTCCCAAACACAACAGGCCGTCCCAAACACAACAGGCCGTCCCAAACACAACAGGTGGTCCCAAATACAACAGGTGGTCCCAAATACAACAGGCCGTCCCAAACACAACAGGCCGTCCCAAACACAACAGGTCGTCCCAAACACAACAGGTGGTCCCAAATACAACAGGTCGTCCCAAACATAACAGGTCGTCCCAAACACAACAGGTGGTCCCAAACACAACAGGCCGTCCCAACCTGCCAGAATCAAGTGGGACGCGCGTCCCAAAAGTGGGACGGCCGTCCCAAAGCCCAATTTAAATGGGACGGCCGTCCCGGGTCCCAAGGTGGTCTCGCCTTGTGTAAAATTGCCATTTGGGACGGCCATCCCAGTCCAGACGGCCGTCCCAACCCAAACGGCCGTCCCAAAGCACGCCAGCTGCGAAAACTATAAATAGGAGGCTCATTTGCCACTTTTTCGAACACGAGACACTCCGAGAGCTCGAAACACCTTAAAAAACTCGGAGCACTTGTCTACTTCTCTCCCTCTCTCGAATGATCTTTCCGATTGCCTTAAATAGGTAACAATCGGTTAAGGAATTATATTCCGGCATTTGATTCTTCTTTAAATTTTTAGTGGAGTCGATCTTGTATTGGTGAGGAGAGTCTGTGTAGAGAGAGGGGTTGCCAAAATGCATCCTCACAGCTTCGAGATTCTCAATATAAAGCTTGCTACTGGAGGTTCTTTTCAATTCTCTTCTCTTTTATTGCTTTATTTATTGTTTTATTTAGCTTTATTTATTGTTTACGCCATGTAGAATAAAATCATGTAGATAGCCATTTTAATATCTCTTTTATTGCTTTATTTAGCTTTATTTATATAAAATTATGTAGATAGCCATTTCAATATTATGCAATAAAATAGGGTAATCGCGTAATTTCTCGAAGTCTTCTCTTTAAACGAATTGATCTGTCATAGGGAACCCGAAAGGGGCGTTGTGGGGTGCTAACACCTTCCCCACACGTAACTAACTCCCTTACCTAACTCTGGTTATAATGGCCAAGTTTGGTTTTCATTAAAATCAATGCATTTTATCCTTTTCCAATGTTTATGGTCAAAACATTGGTGGCGACTCCATAAGAACCCCTTTTCGAAAACCTTGCTTTTATTAGAGGATAATTCAATTGTTGGACACCTCAGAAGCAATGAATATATTTTAAAACAAATACGCGAGTCTAAACCATCTTTTCGCGACCGCTCGCATAAACGTTCGAGACGTCCTCCGACGTCGGAAAGGGACGGCGGCGACAGTGTTCAACCAAG